CGTCGAAGAGTCACTGAAAGGCGGGTCAACAGGGCTATCGAATCTTTTCCGCGGCGCCGTATGTAGCTCTATAATTGGTTCCCGAGTTGTGGACCGGTGTTTCGAAGAAAAAAGTTGAAAAAGGCAATGTTTTTCATTTAATGGCATCTGGTGACCTGACCTTTGACTTGATCTAACAAATGAATGACATGTTTTCATCCTTATTTTGGACGTTCTTTCGAATGCCGTTTACTGCTTAACACTGCTTGACCCAGGATCAGAGTTAAAAGAGCGGGGTGTTGTACCACCCCCCCCCCCCCCAGCAGGGCATGGAAATCAAGGACCCTCAGCGGGGCGCGGGTTAGACATCTTTAGCCGACAACCAAATAAGCCCGTTTTCCTTCGGACGACAACCACCGAAACACTTTTTTCAGCCCTGGGCTCCTCTGCCCGCCGGTCCGTCGTGTTCTCCCCCGCTGTTCGTCATGTTCTCCCCCTCCATGTGACAGCGATGGTAGCCCCCGCGTCACTCGATCTCTCTGAGCTGCCGGCGTCGGCGGCGACCGGCGGTGTGTGGGTGACATCTCTCCACAGCGGAGGCCGGAGACCGCGCCGTGGCTGCCGTGACGGAGCAGAAGCGGTTTTGGCGGCCGGCTCTCTCGCGCCCAACGACAGAGAAGCGCAGCAAACCGACCGGCCCTGCTCTGTGACCCGACGTCGCCGATCGGCGCGGGACGGCCGGCGATAAATCGCCACGGGGAGTCGGCGCGGACGAGCCGGGACCGACCGACGGACGACCCTCGTCAAAGCGAGACGGAGCGGCCGCTCGGCGGAGACGGCCGGCCGGACCCTCGGCCCACCGCCGCGCGGCCGGCCGCACGACGCCGGCTGCAACCGAGCGCGCCGCGGAATGTGTGACGTGTCACGCGACACACAGGACATGACACTCGACACACGACGCCAGGTACACGACAAGGAACACAACGCGCGCGGCTCAGCGCAGCCGCCGTAAAGCCGGCGACGCCATGCACTGTGGCCTTGTACCTGATCAGAGCGAGGAGGAAACCGCTCGGGTCCAGGAAACGAGTCTCGCCGTGAGCGGAGCCGCGCCGGGCCGGCAGCTGCGGCAGTGACAGAGCCGGGGCAGAGTCACGGCACTGACCAGAGAGGGGAGGGGACCGCCGAGCTCCCCAACTTCGAGGGAGGTCCTCGCCCGGGGAGTCCTTGGCTCCCCCTCTCCCTCGCTCGCTCGCCCGCCCCGGGGCGGACGCACACATGGCGCCGATTTGTGCCGAGAAGGGGTCAGGTGGCGAGACGGCCGCCCGAGACGGTCCTTACGCTCTTATGGATGGCGCATTTTGTCTCAGAGGGTGGAGTGCCTGCTGGATAATTTTGACAGCACAATAACACACCGTCATCCTCATCCAAGGCGATATCGAAACAAGATAAAATAGTTCGTGTCATCTCCAAACAGCGTAGTGTTGAGGCCTGTGGGTATTAAATACATCGCGCCAATAGCAGCTGAATGCGTCTCTGTCCACCAATTGACACCGGGTCGGATTAGCGTTACCCGTGCCAGTGCGGGTGACTGTTCCCATCGCGTCTGACATGCACAGCCGTCGCCGAGCACCCCGGCAATGCGTCTGCGCTGTCCGCCGTAATGCGGCGCGACAGGTCGACGGCGTGCCGCGCATCGTCCGGCGGCCCGCGCCGCGCCCCGAGGTGCGCCGGCAGCCGCAACAACACAGGCTGACGGCCGCCCACTGCCCACTGCCTAGTGCCTACAGCCCTGGCAGCTCATCCCCACGGGCTGAGGGCCGCCCACTGCCCACTGCCTACAGCCCTGGCGGCTCAGTCCTGCTTACGACAGGGGGCTGAAAGCCGCCCACTGCCCACTGCCCACGGCCCCGGCGGCTCAGTTCAGCCCAGAGCCCTGAGGAGTGCTGGAAGCATGAACAACACGAGCTGAGGGCCGCCCCCGGCTCTGGCGGATCAGTTCTGACGACCCTGCGGGCTGAAGGCTGCCTACAGCCCACTGCCCACGGATCTGACGAATCTGACGGGTGTGACGGTTCAGCCCCGATGACCCTGCCTTCCGGGGATCAGAGGAGCTACAATCCAGATGAGAGGGTATCGGGATCGGGTGAGATCATTGTGAATCAGTGAAAAAGAGAGGAAACAAGTGAGAAGATTTGGTGGACTAGATGAGGAGAGACAGGGAATGAGAGGCGGTAAGATGGTGAATTTGGATCAGATGAGAGGCAGCGGAGGACCAGTGCATGCCGGGAAAGACGTCAAGGCATGATGGCACAGGGATGACGCCAGCCTTCAGCGAGACCAGATTCCCAACAGATAGTGAAGTAAGACGATCTTCCACCGATCCATATCAGTAGCAGTGAAGCAACATAGCCAGAGTCCAACCCAGTCCAGAACATGGGCCGGTGCTCGCACGGCAGCAGCTGGAGCTAGCCGTTCCGCTCGCTGCCGTTCCGTTCCGTTCCGCCCGCTGCCGTTCCGTTCCGCTCGCCATGACCGGCACAGTGTGCAGTTCGAATGGTGGCGCACTAGGCCTCTGCCAGTCTCCTGATCTGCCCGGTAAATACCCTCCCGCTGGGACCGATACCATCGTTTGGAGCAGCGCAGCGCTGTTGAATCGATAGGTCAGAACTGTGGCGATGGCACCGTACAAAGCCTCCCTGTTTTACAGTTATCTTCACAGCTGAGGCTAAAAAAAGCTGTCCCTGCCTGTAGCCTCTCCTACACATGCATCCTCTACCACAGTGGAGGCTAGCGGCTACCATCCCACACCCGGGTTAGCCGGTGCCGGCCACCGCGGCCCCTCGCCTGCAGTGCAGTGCGGCTGTCCTCCGCGCGGCAGGGCGCCGGCAGACGGGTACCGGCACGGGGAGTCAGACGGAGCCGGTGGCCACCCGGGGCTACCGGCGCCGGGACGGGATATACGGCCACGGCCAGCCGAACGGAACGAATCAGCGCCCCCGCAGACATCGGCACACACGGCAGATACGGCAGACAGCCAGACAGGCAGCGGCAGGGAGCGGCAGACAGCGGCAGACACAAATGATACCAACACAGAGAGTAGACATCGGCAAACCCGGCCCTTGGACGCGACCGGCCGGCGCGGCGGCGGCAACGGCTGGAGTCAGTAGGCGGAACTATGGTCATTGGTCATGAGTACCCAAATATAGGAACGTTCCCATTTTTGGGAACGGAGTTCCCAAATATGGGAACGGGCGTTCCCATTTATGAGAACGGAAGGCAATTTTTCGGCCGTTCTCCCACTAAAAGTCAAAAGTGCATCACGTCTCAAAAAAGTGCACGCTGATTTAAGTGTCTACTAAATCTCCATAAAGTTATCTTTAATCTGACCGTGGAACAAGGAAATTGACCGTGGAATGATATTTTTAATGATTTTTTGAAAATGACAGAATGGTGGAAATACGGGTTATACGACATTTAACATGCAATTTTAAGGAAAATGAAGCATTTTTTAGTTTGAGGTAAAGTATAATAATTTTCGCCTAGTTATGAACTTCCATACTATCGACACCAGATGCTGACAAATGCAAGCGAAGACGCGGACGGTCCCGAGGTAATATTGTTGACTTTTGTGTCGGGGCGGACGACCGCGTGGAACGTGAGTGAATTTACCGAGCTACTGTTGTAAACTCAGTTTAAGCGGTTGAAAATTATCCAGCTGTATTTTATCATCCCGGAAAGACATATTTTATTTGGATGCTAGCTGTTTAGAGTTGTTTTATAAGGAGCGTCATGAGCGTGGTTTTTGTCTTCCGTGTTTCTAAGCGTGATCGTTTTGGGGGAATTTCTCTTATATAGCTCGCTCTGTGTGGCTTATTTATAATTTTTATGCTGATTTCGATAATTCCTCGTGCCCATCCTACCAGGCCTTTTGCCACTTACACTCATCAAGAAAGGAAAAAACTAGATTTTCATTGGGACTAGGTGTTTTGAGGGTGTAACATATTCAGCGTTCCCATTTTTGGATACTTCCTTGTACTCGTCAACTATCGGTGATAAACAGACAGGTGCTTGACATGTCTCCACCCTCAGCGCGGACGGTGGATATAGGTATGGAAGACCTTGTTGAACATCGCTGAGCGTTGTGAATTACGTAATCCTGCAGAGGGGGGCGTGCCCGCTGCGAGATCGACGGGAATAAAAGCGCAGAAGACCGGGCGAAACATGCGACGGTCTTGCCGGAAAGGTCATCTGATGATTGTTGCGTTAACAATAATTTGCGGCGTTGGACGTGATGCTTGTTAATGAAAAGAGCCCCTGAAAGGCGTCGGTGAAATCGTTCCCAATTTTGGGTACGCCGTTCCCATAATAAGGAACGCTTGCAGCGCCAGTGTACGAGAGCGTTCCCAAATTTGGGCTCGCGGCCCGGATGATGGACTGCTTTAGAAATAGGGGAACGATTTGAAACTACGATGGGCCTTACAATATCAAACTCTTTCCCAACAATATTGAGACAAATATCAGGCGGTTCACGATCGTTTTATATTTTTTGGACGTCATTTAACGGTTCTTTTTCTTGTTTTAAATAATGCCTACATGGCGTTCCCATATTTGGGTTTATCGTTCCCAAACATGGGAACGAAAATGCGTTCCCGAAAATGGGTACGCTTGACCATAGTTCCGCCTACTGGAGTCAAGGGCCAGAGCGTCTGGAATTTTGACCGTGATAGAAGGTCATTGGCGTCGCCATAGTCCACACGGCATCACAGAACATCCATGGAAGACGTCACACTGAACAGTCTTATTTACGGGACATCACCGGACGTCACATGTGATACAATAACATTGGACGCCACAGGGCGTCACTGTTCTGTTGACCCTGGAGCTCCCACAATAACACACGGATGAAGATGGCCCAGGCTCTTGTGGGCAGCGAGATTTAGCGAGAGTACACGAGAAGAGAGCGCTTCAGATAGCGTCCACTGTCGCTCTTCTCACACGGGGAGTGGCTCTCTCGGACTCACCTCGACGCTATCCGGCTCGCTGTCCGTGCACGGCCGCAGCTCCGTGTCGGCGCCGTCCTTGGGAGCCATGGCGGCGGCCACTGCCGAACTGCAGACGATGGCCAGTGTGGCGGCCCGGGTCGGTCGGCTCGCTCGCACAACCCGCGGCACGGCTCCGCGGCTCACACCGCGCTCCCGTCGGCGCGGCGGTCGCGCGCAGTCTGGTAGAGGCCGGCGCCGGCGGCAGGGCCGGCCGACGGGGGGCGCCACTGGCGGGCTGCTGCCGCCGCCGCCACCGGGGGTTGGTCGTCCGCCGCCGCCGCCCACCGACACAGGACACAGGCCGACCGCCCCGCCTGGACCGAGTGGACAACAGTGCCGGTCTGGTGACGGTCAGCAGCACGTATGCAAGCGGAATCTATTTAGTCTATCGGATACCCAACTTTTGGCTTTGCCCAAACCATATCAAAACATATGAGTCGAGTTGGCGTTTGGTGTCTTAAACTTTTTTTTTGGTATTTTAGTGCCTTTGAAAATCCTTAATAGTTTTGCAATGATCAAAATTTGGAGATGGTTAATAGTTTCCCAACCTGCTTTGTTATCCCGCGCCCGTTGGGCTATTGCTGGACCCAGGGTTGTGCTTGACTCATGAGTCGAGTCAGAAATTTGACTCAGCTCTGACTCAAATGAGTCAGATTTGAGTCGAGTCGGATAAAATGTTGAGCTGTTGAGTTGAGTCAGAGTTGAGTCGGACAAAAATATTAAGGTGTTGAGTTGAGTCAGAGTTGAGTCAGTAAAATAACTTTTGACATTGAGTTGAGTCAAAAACATTTAGGAACATGAGTCAGCTGACTCAACTTTCTAGAAACAATATATAGTATAAGTTTTTCATTCTCCCCCCGCTTAACAACTTAGGCCTGGCCCTGCTGCCGGATTTTTTCACCCCCCCCCCCCCCCGCTCAACAACTTTTTTATCTGAGTCAATTTTGAGTCAACACACTTGACTCAACAAAAAATTTGAGTCAAGTTTGAGTCAACTAATATTTTCATTGAGCCGCTTGAGTCATGAGTCGAGTCAAGGGAAAAAATCAGCTCCTTGTTTGAGTCAGAGTTGAGTCAGGGCATTCTGAAGTTGAATGATGAGTCGAGTCGGCAATTTTTTTTAGTCGAGCACAACCCTGGCTGGACCCTGTCACCCGTTGGGGAGGGAAGGGGGGGGGCGTTTCGGCCCCCTGAGATCTCGGGAAAGTTACCGACCGATTTTCCAAATTCAACCAACATTTCAAAGTCCTGCACATGAACGATCAGTATGACGCGCGAAATTTTACTTTCAGTTCGATGATGACGTCACAGGTCGAGTTAAAATAAAATTTTCAACATTTTGACATGTTCACTTCACACTACGGGCTCCAACCGCGGCTAAACAAATAACAACGGGTTATTTTTTACGAACTCCTAAATGCAGGTCAAAGGTGTCCTAAGGATACCGAGCTTGTAGGTATTTGGCATGTTTCAGGTCAGAACCAGGTCACACGCTAGGTCACAAAAGGTCATGGAAGTTCTAAGGCATGTTTGTCATGCGACACATGTTTTATGGCTCAATTAGGCGATATAATCTAACAATAGCATCGCCTCTGCCGTCTGAAGCCAGTTCAGCCGGTTAAAATGAAGTTCAGGTCACGGTCAGGAAAATGTCAAATTTTGAAGCTGAAATTTATGGACAAAAATGGCACCCATCGTAAGCAGTTTGAGCTCAGGAACACGATGGTGCTACCTAGGTATTTTTGTGTGGGAGGTCAAAGAGGTACTGAAAATTGCATTGAAAATTGTGTTTTAGTGAGTGCCTAATTCACTACGGTAAGATGTAAAAGTGGATAACTTTTCTATTTGGAAGATATCGAGCCAAAATCTATTGGCGTACCTACTTCATCTTAACATATGTGTTCTATCATATAGGCATTTTTCTGATATAGGTGAAAGCTGTAAAATATAATTCTTGGAATTTGGCAATTGTAGGTACCGTTCAAATTTTTGAAATTTCCAAAATTCGAGGTTTGATAGCGTTTTGTGTTCTTTATAATCAACTGCAAATAGAGTGCCGTTTTAAAAGTTAAAAAAAAAACTAGGTCGAAAGTGGTATGTAAAGTATGGTGGCCCTACTGACCTTTGGTCAGGAGGTATGGAAGAAAGGGGACTGGGGGCGTCCCCCACCCCCACCCCCACCAATGGGGCGCGGCCCTCGTGTAATGTCATTGGTTGGTGTTTGGCCCGATAATCTAAAAATGTCATCAATACCCACCCAGGACTCGTGTCAATACAGCGAGCCGGGATGGAGAATTAATGGGATCACACATACCCTGAAATCAGCCGAGGAAGGGACAAGTCACACTCGTACGGCAATTTTTAGCAGGTGAACTGTGCTTGGCAGATCTGAAGACCTTGGCCGAACTAAGAGGACAGTCTCAGGCGCTACCGTGACTGCCCTCGGCAGCGCCAAGAGGATTCATAGATTTCTCCAATCTGGGCTGAACCCGAGCTGAATCAAAGCTGAATAATGAATATGGGTGGCCTTGGTGGCTATGTTGAAACTTATGTAGATCTCCGCTCGACAGTTCACATTGCTGGTAAGTACATAAGTAGTACCCATTTTAGATTTACCCTATTGATCCGACAGGAATGCGAATAGAACAGGAATAGCGCATGCATCACATCGCAAATGCATAACCATAAACATAAAATACCATGCATCTTCTGGTCATATCGCAGGCATGGTGCCTATCGACTTCGTCCGATAGTTATGAAAAACAAGTGCAAAGTTTCTGTAGAAGATGCGATCACTCTTACATTGAAGACGGCTAAAGTTGACATCATACACATTAGTAAGACGACCGTCGTCTCTGGAATTCAGTGCCGGTGATCCGTGCAAAAAAAAAACGTGTTTCGCTGAGCACTTACATTACAGGGTTCATCATTTGCAACTGCAAAGGCAAATATGTACGATCATCATGGTGTTTGTCGACAGAGGTGCATAATTTTATCCCGCGTAATTTGGATACTTGCTGTTGGTCTACACAAGTACACACTCATACAGGCAATAGGGTTGGGACCTATCTGCATGCTCTGTATGTTTTGGTAAAATAAAAAAGCTCAGAATTTTTAATGATTTAATTTAAAATCACTTTGTTAAAAAAATGCCTAGTTAGTTCAGAAATTAATTATTTGTGGCTGAAAACAACTTGCTTCTGATTGGTCGGGCTAATCATGACGTCACATGTAGGTATATAACTGTCTGTATATTTGGCGCAGTTGAGACATACATTTTCTATGCATTTTCCTATGGTAAATCGGAGTGATTGGTCGTGTTTTCAGTGTCTCTTTATTTTGCGCTGGTATTGCGTGGCTAAGAAGTTTTATCAAGAATGGCATGTACTAAAATGTTCCTTTAATAATGGAGCTTCAATATCTGTGAGTTTTATTGGCAAGCGAAAACTGATTTCGCTGTTATTTTATCTGGAAATTACTCATTTTTTTTAGGTCAATATTCAAAATATTTTACGGGAACAAGTTGGCACTTTTCTTGATTTTTGCACTCAAATCGCGTGCGATTCAACTGTATTGGAACTTGCAAAGAAGCTTGGTGATTAATTAACTATGTTGTTATGGCACTGTTTGCAAAGCATGGATAATGAAACTCTGCCAAAGACTTAGCTACATAGCAATGCCTCAAGTAATACGCAGGAGGGACAGAATTCAGAGTCCGATCGAGAAGAATCGGTGCAAATGCTACGAAGACCAGGCAGCTCTGATACAATAGCTAGTCGTCTCACTACTCTCACTCCATTCGACCAGCTGATTCCTGACAGCACCGACTCGGATGCAAAGATGGAGCTCATCTTCCAAGCCAGAAACCAGTTCTTTGATGGAAGCTGTGATGCTGCCTCTGTCTCTGCTTTGTTGGCCACTTTGGACGGGGCGCGGAGCTCCGCTCCTTGCGTGAGCGGTTATTCGCCTGTCATCCAGAAATAGTTCCTTCGTTTGCTGGCCGTTCCCTGATTAGGTGCAATACGGGGAGCTGTAATCAGGGAAGTAACTTTCCATATGAAAGGGGTGCAGGTGCACCCCCGTCCCCCATCCACTAGAAGTGCACCCCCATAGGCTAAGCGGCGCCCCACACGCCGCCCCACACGATTAGCTCTAGAGCAGATGGCGAGGGTGATTTCTCGGCTACATTCCATCTCGGCGTCGTGATGCTTGTGGGCTTGGAAAGCGTCCAGTCGTATGTAGGGTAGTGTAGGGGTAGGGTTGAGTTCAATAAGGTCCTTACATTTGAAAGGTTTGAACAACCCGCAATCAGCACAACATACCACAAGTTAAATAAAAAACTACCAAACTCCGCCCAACTAATATTAATAAACATAACAGCCAAACTAATGGCCTAAATAAAAATATATCTCAAATCCTAACAGTTATCGCGGGTGATGGCGCCATGAGTTGCTATAATCCAAAACAGATGCAAATAAACATGTTTGTATGTCCTATGTATGTTTGTTTTAAAAACGTTGCAGCGGCGCTGGGAACTGCAGTCTTAGATCTGGGTATGTTTGGCATCTGCAACTCTTCATATACACGGAAAAAAATATTTACTCCCCTAGGTGGGGTTCTGACGTCCCAAATACAGTACCTATATTAGAGTAGATATTCGCCCTATTTTGGAGTTCTATCCATAACTCCCTAAAACTATCAAAAGGCGATTCATTACTCTCTTGGTGTTTTGAAACTCCCTTGTAAAACGCAATTGAAACTCCCTTTTAGGGAGTGAAAAATAATAGGGAGTAGTGGAACCTAAGGGGAGTAATAAAACTCCTTATTAACTACTCCTTATTCCGGAGTTATGATCGCAAAAGGGAGTTTCACTACTCCTGTTCTGCAAGTGAAACTCCTTTAAATTTGTCTGTGGAGTAATGTCACACCGAAAACGAGACATGCTAAGTGGTTCCAAAACTCCCAAAAAGGTACTCATCCCAAATACAGTACTTATATTAGAGTAGATAAAGTTAACATTCTGGAGTTTTCCAAAAAGGGTGTGATGTCACCCCAAATATACGGGTTGAGTCACTCCTAATTTTGGGCAGGACGCACATTGCACAAGCCCCAACTGACATAATCAGAGCATTTCCAGCTGGAATTTTAACAAATATGGATCATTTATACCGTTAT